CACACACACACACACACACACACACACAATTTGCAGAAGGGGGCCTAATATCGACTTCATTAATTAATGCGTTATGATAGATGACATTTCCTGCATCGCGCCAATCGGTGGGATCGCCGCGCGATCGCTCTTAACAGTTTACTAAATTAATTTGTCTAATTAATCGTCCCGTTCGTGCGCGATCGTCGTAATTAGCAGGGTGCGCGAATTGCTGCCCGCCGGCGCAAGCAAGGGCCCTGTGGATAATTTACCGAGTCATTTCGATGGCTCGTAGTAGTTTAATATGGACCGATGCCTGATTGCGAGGGGCATATTAACGGGTTATTAACCAGAACGCAATAAAGGCGCGGCTTAACGCGCAAATTGCTCGTTCGCGTGTCGCTGGTCAGTACTCTTATAAGCAGAAAGGGAAAAAAATAGAAGAGAAAAAACGAAGCATATATAAAGAAGAATTAATTATAAAAAAGACAAGCGTGCGAATGAATTAACTCGTTGAAATAAATCTTCGCTACGTTTCGTGATACCGACGTGATCTCGATAATTATCTCAAATCGATAATTAATAGCGCGAGGCGTTGAACTTTCGCATTTCATATACGAAGTAACGAAGGATTTAAATTATAACCCTTCGTTTGCAATCTTCTTTGGCACAAACAAAATTTCATTCTGAAATAAGGGGAACAAAGTCCGGTTCCGTCTTTCAAAATAATCGAGAAAATTATTCGGTAATAAAGATGTTAAAAAGTAACTTTGAGTTCTTCCATATTTTTTTAAAGTTTAAAACAGTTAAAAAAACTTGGGTTGGACAGAAAGATCCAAATTGCAGACAGAGGAAGTAAAAATATAGATGTAAACAGAAGGGTAAGGATCAGATTCTTCAATTTGCGATGGAATCTGAACTTTGAGACGTCTTGTACATACGGAGCTTCGGTAAAATCACCAAAGGACTAGATATTTCCATTAGCTGGCTAGTATTTATTTATTTATTTATCCGGAGATACCGAGTTTGCTTGCAGAGAAAGTATAGTTTCTAACAAACAAACAAATAAACTCGCAACAACTACCCGCGCTTTCTAACTATCTTCTTTCTCCCTTCCGCGTAATGGCAACACCTCTAGTTCTTTAGATCCTTCAACTGTAATCGCCTTATCTCGCGCCACCAACAATATCCCTTACGATTGCTCTGGACAGTAAGAAGAGTTAACTAACCAGGAGAGTTGGTGTAATTAGTTGTAGGAGAACACGTGACCGTTGTGCGAGCAATGCTAACCCAGCACAGCGCTATCGCTGAACTAATCAGTGTTTAATTTGCGGTTCTAAATCCGTAATCATACCTGATGTGTAACTTCTTGTCAGTTTACGGGCGGAATTGGATTCGTATGTTCCGTAACGTGCGGCAACAAGTCCGAATGACTTTGAAAGACCGGTAAATTAGCTACTTGCTGCAACATTGAGATTCAGCAACACGATTTGTATTTTATACATACATACGAATATTCATCATGAAGGCATAATTTGTTAAGATCAGAATAAATCTATATATTTTTTCTATATATATTCTTTGAATAAATCTTATTTATTTTGAATATTGATAAAATATAAGCTAAAATACAAAGAGAGATTTTGAATATTGATAAAATATAAGCTAAAATACAAAGAGAGATTTGAAATCGCATTTACAAATATTATGGAATAATCTTACATTGAGTTATATATTAGAAAATTATTTTACAAATGCGATTTCAAACTTCTCTTTGTATCTTAATTTATATTTTATACCGATCTTCAAAATAAGTAAGACTTGTTTACAAAATATATAGAAAAGAATATATAGAAATCGTTCACCTTAACCAAATCGGAGCTTAACAAACTGCGCCACTCGTGATAACAAAAACGTCATTAGTCAGCGTAAAGCAGACACCATTTTTCTAGTAATCGGAAATTAAACTCAACCGCGTTCAACCCGGAAAATAAGAGCGCGACCAGTCGTTTATACTACCGCAGAAATTAAGCGCCGCTCGCAACAATATCCACTGCAACTCCGCACATTGTCGTTTGTTCGCGAAACACACGCGAAAACGATCGGTTCGACCGCATACAGGGCTTTGCAATTATCGCGTCCTTTGTCGCACGCGCCACGGCGGACAAAGGAAACGCAGAAGAAATATCGCTGCGGGCGGAGCGCACGGTAACGGAAATTATGATGCTCGCTTTCAGCGATTGGCGAATTAACAGCAGCGACGGGAGATGGAGGGAAAACATCGTCCATATCGGCGTTATATCCTCCCCGGAAAAAAATATAAAAAAGTGAGTGGCTTGCGTTTTTATTGAGCCGAGTGCTCGTAAGTTACGAGAGAACGCTTGTCGATATCGCTCAATGATTGTAAAAAGGACACTCGACGTTGACTACATACATCTTGGAAAAATAGGTATTTTTTCTGCCAAAGCAGTGATATTTTCATTGTGCTATTTGATAAATGCTATTAATAATACCGGAACGCATACCATATGTTTTATTTTTTTGGCAGATTCACCCGCGAAAAAGTTTATCGCATTCGTATTATTTTCGTTTGCTTTGTACAATGAGATTAAATCGGATTTTAAATGAAAATCTTACGTTCGTCAAATCTTTTTCATTATAATTTATTTAATAATTTATCCGAGTACTAAATCTTCTGGTCAACAGAAGGCCGACCTCTTACCCGATCATTGAACTTTCTCTACTTTCATCCCTAATCCGATTCAATCTCCGAGCCCATTTATCTGAACCTGCTATATATCGTGATCATAATATGATTACGATACAGAATGTTCAGACAGATGTTACACACAAGCTATATTTATGGAATCTTTGATCAATATGGGATCATTTTCTTTTTAACAAGAACGCTAAGATATTAGCAGTACATTAAAAAATTATAGCTAATAGATCATTCTTCCAAATCTTACTAATTTTCGCGTGACACGAATATATATCAAATAGTTTATTTATTGGATTTTCGGAAAAGTCATGACATATTTTTTCTATATAAAATGGTGGTTTTCTTTTCCAGTATATTCTACAAAATTAGCGATTACATCACTTGATAGAGCAACGTTTCAGCTTTAAGAATCTTTATTTTTAATTGCGATGCGATGATTTTTAACGGAGTTACGAACAATAAAGTCAGAATGTTTCTTTTTACTTAATCCGCGAGTAAAGAAAAAATCGCAGGAACATTTTTAAAAAACAACTTTGTAGGGAAAAATTCAAGCTTTCACGATAGATAGTCGAAAATTTATTTAAATTTTTTTTGGGCACGCTACAAACCTACAAATTGAAAAAAAATTTTTTTCATTTCTTTCAGCTCGTAGTTTTCTATATGTAAAAATTATAAAACTCACATAAATTCAAAAAATATAGTAACCATTCGAAAGTAGATTTCGAGCTTTAAAAAACCCTTTTTTTAAATTTAAATTTCGATCATTTTTAACGAAGTTACGGCTGCTCTTAATAGCAATACGGAAAAACGACATTATTTTTTCGACAACCCAATAATTTTAATTAGATTTTATTTTGGATTATTTTTTGATTCAGCTAGTTATCTGAAGATTACAACATGAAGAAATGCGGTGTCAAAAGGGATTTTTGTAGAAGCATCTAATCCGAATGATACACAAGATTCCATCCACGGGGAGTGATGCAGCCCTTATACATACCATATATACGTATGAATGCATGCGTAAAATTCGCGCGAGCGTACCGCTGGGATTTACCTTCTTCTGTACTCGTGTTAGCGGCGAGACGGTGCCTCGACATGATTTGTCGCACCCTGCGCGAACGAAAAAGCAGATTGACGCCTCGTCGCATTACAATTCTCTCCCTCCTCTTCCCTCTCTCCGTCGGGCTATGCTATATCCGCCGGGCATCGCTCGACAGATAAAACATCATTTATTATCAGAGCGCGTCGACCTCGACCTCACGGCGTCCTCCACGCCGGGAGAATGCGTCGACGATCAGGACGATTTTTCGTTCACAAAGGGCGTACCGTGTGCGAGAATCTCCGCCGAGTACCTCTCCTCCACGACGAAGACGACCGCGCGATGATTCAAGGGAGAGAAAATTTTGCAAAGGAGGTTCTTGGATTACGCGTCCGTGCGTGATAGTGTGTGCACGAGCAATATTACACACAATCGCGAGGACAGGCTCAAAATCAGCGGTGGATTTATGCACACATTTACGCACTTTCGAATCCGAAACTCTAATGACGTCCTCTTGTAACAAGTCGTTGAATACTCATTCAGATTTACTCGCGATATACAAAATAAAAAAGAGACAGATTTTATTTATATATAAAAATAGATTTTATTTAAAAACACTGGATGCTCTTTTCATTTGGTGAAACAAGTCAAGTGACACAAGTGTCGTTCTATCTTTACTACCATTTGTTACTCACTGAATGTTAAGAAGAATAGAATGATGCTTGTGTCGACTTCTGTCACCAAATGGAAAGCATACCCACTGCAAATCTAATTGTGTAAAAAGTGACTTCAATATATGTGTTATTTAGTTTTCCGTGTAAAAATGACACTATACTACATGTTTAAATGTGTAGATCCATATCTGTATATAATATAGTTTGTTATTTTTATATGGGAAACTAATCATACATATATTGAAGTCATTTTTTACATAGATTACATTTACACGACTCGATTTATGTCGAAGTTATAACATCGATGTCATAACTTCGACGTAAATCGAACCGAGTAAACGTAGTTATCATACTTGCATTTGCAGTAAAAAAACGTTCCTTAAAGTATAGTTTAGATTAAATATCAATTTGTATGTTCTTAGAGTTTGCCCTAGAACTATAATAAACGCTTTATTTATCTGTCTATCGAAATAAATGTTCTAAAAAATTTAAAGTATAATTTGTGAGTAAATAATACATTTCGTTTTCATCAAAATAGGGCTTTCATTTTGGCTTATTCGTTCAGATTTGTTCCCGATTGAGCTTCTGAGTTTTTTTTCTGTCCCTTTTCTCATTGTAATCGAGAGAGATAGGTATGGCTTAATCAAATGGTGCCATCGTAGTTATACGCCTCACAGGTTTAAGCCTAAATCCACCACTGAACAGTTAATACGATCGTTGCCACAGAAATGAAAAGCAAAGAGACAGAAACGAGGCATGAAACCAGAGTAGATGAAAGGACGGATAACGAGAATTAAACATCGAGAGATTTCCGTGCCAAGTGCCGTTCACTTTTACGGTCGTCAATCGATGACTCTTTCCGCCACTCGTAAGGAAGCAATGCGACATACGCGACGCGTATATGATGATCCACGGCCTAGTGCCAATTAATCCTTTTGTACGGCCGTTCTCTCCCAAAACCTGTTTTTCGTGCTCGACGGTTGGTTTGTGCTTCCCTTGAATCGCGCGCGTCGGTGTCTGTCGAGAGGAATTCGGCGAGTGAGATGCACTTCTTTAATTCTTCTGATGCACTCTCGACAATAGAAATTTTCGTATCGCAAGCTTTTACAAAAAATATAAACTTATTACTGTATTCAAATTTAATTATCAGATTAAATTAGGTTATATAATTTTTAGAAAAACAAACATTGTGTATCAGAAGATGATTAAAACCGAAATAATTATTTTAGCAATTAGAGGAAACATAGCCAGGGATTAAGCTTGAAATCCAATCATCAGGATTTTATGTTATTAATATACTAAAAATAATTTCATATCAAAGAGACTTTGTATATATGAAAAAAATAAGCAGAATAATTTTTTAATTTACTACTGTAATAAATATGTATATGTGCCGGATATTTCAATTCTTGAAAATTATTTTTGGAGTCCTTTTCTTTTTCAAATTACAATTTATAAATTATAAGAATAAAAATAATATTAATGTTTAAATTATAAATAAAATGTTTTGTTATTTATTTAATTTCAGAAATTTGACATTATTTAATTTCAGCATTTTGAATTTTGACAAAATTTCAATATAAAGATATGTTAAAAAAATATTTTATTTTAAGCTAAACATTAAAAAATATGATTTTTTACAAAGAAATATCATATTTAGATTAATCAAAGATTTCACTTCATAAATAAAATAAAATAAGATGTCATAGAGACCCAAAATATATATAGAAATATGCGATTATATTTTATTTTATACTTTTATATAGTATCAGTAATAAAATGTAAAATCATGAAATTATGTGCACCTGAATGTATTCCTTTTTTCCTGGCTACGTCCATATTTCAAATGATAATTAATTCTGTAATACTCATTCAGCCTTTGAACAGTATGAGTGTTACAGTTGCAAATCGTGAAAAAGAGTTCTTAAAGTTTTTCACTATTTAGAGAGCGACTTTCATTTTTTTCATGCACACAAAATAAGATGCCTTTCTCATAAATAGAATTACCAACACCTAGGCTTGCTTAGCATTAATTTTGTTTCGGGATTTTCAAGCTCCGTTCCAAGTACGATTCTAATACGGCTTGAATAAGAGAGGAGTTCAACTGGATCGCACTTCTCAAATCTTCAGATTGCGAATCCGTTGCTAACTCTTTGACAACCGACGGGAACAATCTTTCTGTTCTTTCTTTTTCTTTCTCATTCTCTTAACTCTGACGACGGGGTTTCTGCACTGGGCGCGGGCTAATGACCGCGTGACTTCTTACACCGGAGGTTCTGGTGAAGGAGATGAATAGTCAATTCGGCAATAAATCAGCCCACCGTTGCTCGTAAGTTCCCATTTACACTCTCCTTTGTTGTAGCGTCCGCGAGCCACAAAACAGGCGTGGCGTGAGATGCATATTCGTGTTCGTACCGCGGTGAGATCGTGCGGAATGTATTGTGGCGCTATTTTGCATGTCGGACCAACGCTTAATTAGCGATTAACGAAGCGGAATGAAAAAATGATAATAGTATGCTAAAATTACAATTATCTACCGAGATTTCGTCGAGAAGTGGAATTGAAGCGAAAAATATCGAAGCGATCAACGCGCGCGATCTCTTTATTAAATTTTTTTTCAAAAGATATTCATTTCATCAATAAAATGTAATGTCTCTAAAATATTTTTACGTTAATTCTTATCGCTAAATTTTGTTGTTGATGTGTTTTAATTAATCATTATTGATAAAATATGAATATAATTTGTGATAATAATTTATATCTCTTTCTAATTCATTTATGAAGAATAAGAAATTGAACAATAATTATATATAAATTTTAGATATAACTGATATTATTTTAACTTAGATTTGTTTATCAGTTTCTATATAATTATATCTATAACATAATGAAAAGGAAAATGTAGCGTAGACTATTCACCAAAACACCATTCATTTAGTTTGGCTCAAAAAATTAGCGATATGTTCGCGTCGATCATCAAAGAGTTAATTTGTTAATTATACAGCCACGTAGCTGTGCCAAATTATAAACAAAAGTTGAAAGTCCATTATTAGTAATAGTCAAGATAAACATCTTCATTACATTTATTTAGACATCTTTTGAAAATGTAACGCGCAATACAGGTTTTCATAATTTGCATTTTGTACTCTATGTAATAAATATTATTAGCAACATTATTTAATACAATTACAAGAAGAGTATCAGTGAGAGAGAGAGATATCAACGAATTATGATGAATTTGTTGCACAATTTCATAATTTCTTTTTTCTCATTAATTTTATTATTTTATACTTTACCAGAAATATATAAATTTCCAAACTACACGTGCAACTATATCTTGCTTTCTCGTATTATTCCGATATTTTTCACATATGACTTGATATTCAATGTATATAAAAAACAGCTTTAAGATTAATATCAAACAAAAACAGAATACATCGATTTAGCGAGTCATGCAACAAACATTCATCGTAATCATTCTCCTATTACTGCTCCTCTCTTATGCATTCTAAAAAATATGGATGTGTCATGGATTTAACACTATCATGGATTTAAAGCCCATGATGAAATTTATATCCATAGCTTTTAGCGTGTATTCGTAACGATCTCTTGACTAAACATCTTTTTATGTTCGAAAGTAAGTGTATAAATCAATCATACGTTGTATTTTCAAAAGATTTCATTATTAGTGCTCCGAAAATAAGCGCATGAGTTAATGACACGTTACATTTTCAAAAGATTCTATTATTAGTGTTCCAGAATCACTAATTCATATACTAATCTATCAAAATTATACTCATCTGCTCTGCATTCTGCGGCGTTGTCTTACACTCCTGTTCGACGTTTCCGAAAATTTCCGCCGTGGAAGGCCTCTCGAAGGCACGTAGAAATAATTCATGAACATATCGATCAAAAGCACTTTTGTCCCGTTTACAACATTCATGACATTATCGATCGTTCCTTTCATAATGTATGTTTTATGAGGATAGTCTATGATAGTCTTCCAAAACTTGTACATCCTTCTCGTAATTCGATCGCTACAATTTGCATAACAAATCGATTGAGGTATTAACAAAGGGAAACGGTGATCAGAAGCTTTTCGGGAATCAGTAGCTTTCCGGATTTAAATTTATATTTCGTTACTGACAACCATGATTAGCGCACACACACGCACGCATGCACACACACACATACACGCACACACACACGGGTTCCCTGAAGTACTTTCTCCGTACTGTATTAGCGGTATTGTATTTATTACAAACACGGTTTGAATATTTATAACGCGTTAGCATATTTATGACATGTTAATATGAGTGGATTCAGGCTATACTGCAAACTCCCGTTATGGGATAGAAAAATTCCAACCACTGCTTGAGCGAATTTATTCTTTTCTCCACTATCTTTCACGTTTCTACGAGCACATGATATCTCTAGAGAGGTTGCGTCGGCTCGGGAAAAAATACGTACACAAAAGTCTGCCAGCAAATCTTTCCGTAGAAAGAAAAAATGGATGTTCCTCGCAAACATTGACACTTAATATTTTATCTTGTTTCTTAAGTTTTCCCCGTCGGAAAGTAATTCGTCAAAAAAGACTTATCAAAGATGCATAATATCAAAGATTACACGTAGCCTAGTTGAAGATAACTTTTTGTAAAAGAAATTTTAAATAATATATATGATTCTCATACGTAATAATTTGGAAAAGTACACCATTTCGCGCATTGAATTTGCCAAATTATATTATATGTTAAAACATAAAAATGAAAGAAAGAGAGAAAGTATGTTAACGAAAATATAAGGTGGTACTGCGCTTACTATAAAAATTCATGCTCTATATTTTTCAAATTTTTTAGAAAGAAAAATGACAACTCATCCCATTTTATTCGCAAAAGCAGTGCTGTAGGTCTGACTTTCAAGTACAGCGCTCAATGAGATGCAAACGAATATTGACGTCGAGTTTAACAGTATTTTCGAAATTGCATTCGCACTACTCTCCGAGAAAGGCGGACGCGCAAGTACTTTTTAACGCGAACGCGGTGGCGGACACGTACCCCATCGTAAATTCGACGACGTAAGACAAATGGCGAGTGCAGGAACGGGAAGCCGGTTTAACAATAACTCGGCGAACACGAGCTAACGTAGGCGAGAGCAGACACCCGTTTGC